CCAAAAAATGTGAAGATTATCGAATAATAAGCCTTATGAGCCATCTCCTGAAATTTTTTTTAAAATTATACATAAAATAATATATAAAAAATGTGAGGAACACATGACAATCACACAATTTGGCTTCAGGGATGTATTGGGTACTCGAGAGGCACTTTTTGCAATACGAGAGGCAATTTTTGCAAGTTCTTTTTCAAAGATGTAGAGACGTGAATTGTGATATATACTTAGTTTGTTTTGTTGATTACCAGAAATTCAATTGGTCTAGACAGCAGAGATCGCCGTATAATACACAATATCTATTAAGAACAAACTGCAGCTGTTAGAGTTGGTGATCAGTTAACAGACGATATAAAGAAAAAAAGAGGTGTACGACAGGGATGTATATTGTCCCCATTGTTGTTCAATATATATTCAGAGCACATTAGCGCTAACGGACATAGACGAGGGAATACTTATAAACGGAGAACGATTGAACAACATAAGATACGCTGATGATACTGTCATTTTTGCAGACAGTCTTGAAGGTCTGCAAACACTTGTCTCCAGGGTCGCAGAAGTTGGGCTTGATTTTAACATAAAAAAAACCAAATACATAAGTATAAGCAAAAATAGGATACCACCTGGTCAATTACTAGTTAACCAACAACCTATAGCACAAATCACCAACTTTTGTTATCTGGGTGCAAACTTAAATGAACAGTGGGACCAATGGACGAAAATTAAGATAAGGATCGAGAAGGAAAGATCAGCATTCGTCAAAATGAAAAAAATCCTTAACAGCTACGACATAAAATTGGAAATAAAAGTTTGTTTCTAAAATGCTACGTATTTTCCGTTCTTTTATATGGCGTAGAGTCATGGACCTTAACTGAAGCATCACTGAAGCGGCTCGAAGCATTTGAGATGTGCTATAGACGCATGTTGAGGATTTCCTGGATATACAGAGTTACCAACGAAGATATTAAATGGGTAATAGAGAATATACAGATATTACAGAATGGGTAAAGAGCACGAACTAGTCGTAACCATAAAACGTCGAAAACTAGAATACCTGGGCCATATAATGCGCAATGAACAACGATATGACCTACTTCGGACCATAATTTAAGGTAAAGTGCATGGGAAAAGAGGTCCAGGACGGAGAATATCCTGGCTGCATAACCTGCGAAAATGGTTTAACATAACCACTGCCGGACTTTTCAGGGCAGCAGTCAACAAAGTCAGAATAGCCATGTAACTGTCCAACATCCGTAACGGATAGACACCATAAGAAGAAGAAGGCACGAAATTAGTTGAAGGGTATGATATATGGCGTCTAGAAGTAAATAAAAAAAACCGAATACCTGTGCATTGGGGTAGAACACAAAGATCTCATATTAAATGATAACACCACGATGAAGCACTGCTGTGAGTACAAATATCTAGGTCTCATCACTATTTCACAAGATGGAACATTAGACAAAGCCCCAAGAGAGAGAGAAATAGTCAGGGAGAAAAGCCATCACAATGTTAAACAGCATTTTATGGGACCAATCCATCAGCAAAGAAAATAAAAAGAGGATATATGAGACTAGAGTAAAAAGTATCACTTTATACAGGTGTGAGGTATAACCACTGAAAGAAAGAACATTGGTAACGCTGAAAGCGACGGAAATGGATTTTTGGAGAAGAACCGCAGGAAAGAGAAAGGATTACCATCGAACGCAATAAAGAAATAATGGGAATCAAACGAACAATCACAGATGACGTAACAACAAAACAACTTATCTGGTTCGGACACATACAAAAAATGGATGAACAACGAATACCAAAAGAAATATTTAAATGGCAACCAGAAGGAAAGAGAAAACGAGGTAGACCGAGAAAAACTTGGAGAGAAGGGATAAATAAAGAACTGAGAGAGAGGGCCATAGAAGAAGACCTAAGGAACAACCGGACTGAGTGGTGATTGGAAGTCTGAAAACGGCGGAGAACGTGAAAAACCGGTAAGTAGTAGTAGTAATAATACAAAGCATGATAGACGGAATACGAGCAATATAGCGAACCAACTCTAGCACAATACACTAAACTGCAGAGATTACGGTGGGCAGGGCACATGGTCCGCATGCATGAGAATAGAATCCCCAGAAAACTACTAAATGCAAGAATGAAGGGAAAAAGACCTGTTGGAAGACTTAAAAAGAGATGGGAAGACGAAGTCGATGAGGATCTCAGGAACTGCTTGGGAACGGGTTCATGGAAAAGAACAGCGGTAAATAGAAATGATCGGAGAAGTTTGTTGAAGGAGGCCGAGGCCCGATTCGGACTGTAGTGCCATTGGATGGATGATAGACGGAATCATTCCTGTCTACTTCTTGTAGTGACTATCCGTTTCGGATGTTGGTGATTATCATGGCAATCTGTATTTTACAAACTGCGGCTCTGAAAAGATTTGTGGTTGTTGTGTTAAACCACATACGTAGATTTTTCCGCCAGGAACTTCTTCGCCTTCCTGGTTCCCGTTTTCCTTCTTCATTCCTGTTCTAAGGCATAATCCTGTTTCGATGAGCTATATGGTTTTAAAATCTATCAGTAGGGTGTTAACCTGGCTGTAATTAAGAACTATTGGACCACTGCGCAAAAATGGAGTGACAACCTTCCATAGAGGTATTAATCCGCCAATAAACAAGCAGAATTGCTTATAAAGAGGAAGAAGAAATGGGCCAGGTCGAAGAAGAACGCAATGGTTTAGAAACCTGAGAGAATGGTTTAACAGATCATCTGCATCCCACGTCTGAGCTGTCAATAATATTAGCCAACCAACGAGAAAAGAGCAGGGCACAAGAAGAAGATAGTTTCCATGAATATTAACAGTCAACAAGTGGCCATAGGGATTAACTTGTTTTGGTACAACAAAAATCTATAAGCCACAATTAAAGATAAAAATACGTTTATTGACGTTTCAATTTCCACTTCGGAAATCGTTCTCAAAATACAAACAGTAAATTAAACAAATTTTGTTTTTTGTTACATAGTGAAAAATTCTTCTAATAATTTAATTTTATCTGACTCATTTATATTGACAATTCAGACATACATTATGCATTTTAAAGTAGACGACTTTAAATATCTATTAAATTTCAAATCAAATCACAATATTAATGTAAAAAAGGGAATAATTAAATCCTTATACGATAGAGCCAAAATTACTTGTTCTAATGAAAATTCGTTCTTGGAGGAGAAACATTTGTTAACATCTGTTTTATTAAAAAATGATTATCCTTTATCGTTTATAAATAAGGAATTTTCAACAATCGATCGAATAGAACAGAACAACTTAGAACGAGATCCTACAGCATACACAAGGAATAATATGAGGAAAATAACAATACCGTACATAAAAGGACTATCAGAAAAACTTAAAAGGATAGGAAATAAATTCAACATTTCAACAACATTCAAAACAACAAACACGTTGAGATCTATTTTGTCCAAAACCAAACCTAACAATGAACAAGAAAGGACAAAGAATTGCATTTATAAAATACCTTGTGAATGCGATCAGTTTTATTTAGGTGAATCATCAAGGCCATTAAATGTTAGAATAAGTGAACATCAATCTTATATTAAAAATAAAGAATTTGATAGATCTCAAATCTGTAAACACGCATGGGATAATGAACATAGGGTTCAATGGAATAATTCAAATGTAGTCCTAAAAGAAACGGATAGTAAAAAAAGAAAAATCAAAGAAGCGGCTCTAATTATGCTAAATGAGGCCAATTGTGTCGCAAATTCCTCGGCAGAATGTAGTAGGATCTGGTTACCAATATTGAAAGAGGAAGTTATCAATAAGAAAATACCAGTATTAGTAAGTCAGTAACATATAGAGGATACATCATTTATGTTTTTTAAATAACGCAACATATAAAGAAGGTAAACTAAATTCACGAACAAATACTTACAATGTCGGGATAGTATTATGAGGTTTTTTCCTGGTTTTCCCTCATAATTTACTATGGAATCACTAACAGGAGAATTTTACTGTCATCATGTCATGTGTTTGTCTTTTTATAGACGAATTACATGCTATGATTTTTTTCTGACAGATATTCTCAAGTTAAAGTTGATTTCATGTAATCGAATGAACTATCTTATAAGTAAAGTCGTCCCAGGAGCGCAACTCAACAATATTGGCAATATCATTTTAAAGTCGTCTACTTTAAAATGCATAATGTCTGTCTGAATTGTCGATATAAATGAGTCAGATAAAATTAAATTATCAGAAGAATTTGTCACTATGTAACAAAAAACAAAATTTGTTTACTTTACTGTTTGTATTTTGAGAACGATTTCCGAAGTGGAAATTGAAACGTCAATAAACGTATTTTTATCTTTAATTGTGGCTTATTCCCAGTTTAATAGTAATTAATTTACAATGCCACAAGAAAATAGCTTCAGAACAATATTAAAAAAAATCTATAGTCTCAATCCATATTTAATAAGGTCGGATGAGTTTATTGCATTAGCATGTCAGAAACAATTTCAGAAATGGAAATATGGTGAGGATAGATACTCTTGATCATTTTAAAGCATCTTATTTTATTAATTATTAAAAAATAATAGAGAATTCGTTTTTGACCAATTATCCAATTGAGGATGTATAGTTCCAAATTGGCTAAGATCGAATTCTTGTTTTAATTAATAAAATAAGTAAAAGCAATGAGGTACTGATGAGTAAAATTAAATCCATTACATGTGAATATGGGTGGAAATTAACGGAATTCTTAAATTTAATATAAACAGGAAAAACTTTCTGTAACTACTATGTATAACATATTTACATAATTGACATTTCCCACAATAAAAGGATGACAATTAAACATTTTACAAAACGTGGATTTACTAGATATACATAACTTTAAGACAAAATAAACAAAATGATTAATTTGATTAATTTAAACTTTTTTAATATCATTCATAATATTATAGAAATACAATTATTCAACACAGCTTACCTCTGCAAATTTCTTTTCTGATTCTTCGAACATATTGTTTGAATTACAGCCCGGTTGACATCCCTCTCCGTTTTTTCTTAGTTCACAGTCAAATTTCTGCACAGCTGGATCAACAGGAGCCCTAATATCAATTTCATCTTTAGGTCCCTCGATGCACATGTGTTCATGGTTATTAACTTCAGGAAATCTGGAACAATTCAAAGCGTCCGGCCACGGGAAACCGAACCCTTGGAGAACAGGGTAACACCGCGATCTAACACCCTCACAAAGTCCACGACAGGGTCCGATGGGATTAGTAACTTTTTCAGTACACATTGGCACGTAAACGGAGCACAAAAATAGTTTTAAATTTTGACTGCAGCCGTATTGAATGAGAGGTGAAAACGACTGAAGTTGTAAATCAGCTTCTTGTTGAATGTCATTACCTCCCAAATTGGGCATACTAGTTGAATTATACCACATCATGCACATTTCTACGCGAATCGGTTCACAATTGCGCATGAGGGGCTCAGAAAGAGAGACTCCCCAGAAAATACCAAATAACAATAAAAACATTGTTTTGAGGTTAGGTTCGAACAACGCGCGATAACAACCTACTTCCACACCGATCTCCGACGGAATAAATTTCCCAGTTCTTCACGAGTTGCAGTAGGTAGACGAACGCGCTTTGGAATGTTGTTCATCCGAGAGCTTAACGGAAACCGCCGAGTTGAAGCGATTATTCAAATTAAGCTTTACAAGCTCGGATGGACCTGATTGTTCAAAAAACCAAACAAGCTATTTTAGGCAGGTTAGTTAGTGGTGTGAGCGCGTTCGCGGGGGGTTTAGGGGGATGTGTTTTGTCAATATGATTAATTGTATGAGGAGAAATTGCTTTACTTGACAGAATTCAATTAGTAATAAATTGTGATTGAGAAATATGGAATAACTAAAGATTAAGCTACCTGTTGTGCTTGCATTTTTAATATTGAAAATTTAATAATTTCTTTAATTGAAATGTTTTTCTATTTAATTCGCGATATATTTCTACACTTATTTTACAGTTGGTTAAAAAAGTAATAATTAATTAGGGGAGAGTGGAATGCATTAAATTGCTGTTTGATACTTTTGAATTATTTTTGAGTTTTTTACATTATATTTTTGAAATTTTGAATTATTTACATTATATTACTAATATAAATAGGTTGGTATAGTATCTTCTCTAAGTGTGATCCAACTACTAAATAAGAAGAATCAGATTCTATAATATAATTTCTTTTTAAACAATTACCATGTTCCTGGTTCTGTCTGAAAATTGGGTAGTTACAACCTGCTACAAGGGTACAAAAAACGGTAGATAAAACAAAACGTTTTACTTAAGAATATAAGAGCTGAAACCAAAAATATTATTTATAAAAGTTACATTAAAAAATATATAGACTTTCTTACGTAATGGATTTGAGATTGTTGAGGTCGATATTCCAAATTTTGCAACTATGAAATCGTCCTACTTAAAAACAAAAAATTTGTCAAAATTTAAAATAGGGTTTCAAATAATTCATCTAGAAATGATCCTCGTCAGATTCTTATAGACTAAGATGACATTTTAAGAAATTTTCATTTTCTTCTTCTGGGATTATCTTACGTTTTGATTGTTTTAATTTTTTGTAGAAACATTTTTCTCATTTTCCTTTTTTAACCAACTCCATTTGAAATAGGTAAAGAAATAATAAATAAGACTTACTCACAATCAGTTTAATTTAACTATCAGACAACCGGTTTCGCTTTCTACAATATGCAAAGCATCTTCAGGTCTCGATACAAAGTTAAATAAATGCCGAAATGATAAAAACCCATATTAGGGTGTTGTCTAATAAATATAAACAAAATAGATGTTGGAAATTACAATAATTATGCCAATATTACATGTCTGTGGTTTTATTTCAAAAAGAGTAAGTTGAATAAAAAGGTATAAAAGTTTTAAAAGTTTAAACAGACAAGGTAAGGCCCATAAATTGTCATAAAATAGTCTATTAGATTGTAATAAATTAATAAATGAGCAAATAAATAAACATTATTTACATGCCGGTATTCTATTAATTGATGGATGGTAGAACATGGTTGAAACTACTATGTACTGTTGAATGGAGAACTCAATTCTGTTATTGTAGTTGTATGACAGTAAACGGGAAGTTCTTGAGGAGATAGATTTGATCCAATGAAGCAGAGATATGTGTATGAATGTTTGTTAAATGAAAGTGATGTAATATACTATTGTATTATTAAAAGTTATTTATACTTATTCGAGAGATATATTTATGAAATCTGTGTTATTTATTGAGTAATTGTTTTATGAAAGTGACAGTTTCATGACAATGAATAAGTTTAGATGTACAAATTGTGTGGGTGTGCAATTATTTTTCAACTTGTAGTTATCAAATCTCTTTCATAAAGTTCTATTGGCAAAATAGAAGGGTATTGTAAAGTCAAGTAAATAAAATATTAGAATTAAAACAATTAAGGACAATTTAAAACACACTAAAAAAGAAAACACTTAGAAGGGACAAAACAAACATTAAATTTAAAAGGGGGAAGGACTTTTATGCACTACATTTCAGTCTTGGGTACAATGAGTTTTTTATGTGTTATTTACTAGATTTTAGTGGTAAATTTGACAGATGTAGGTTAGCATGTGACAGTTCTTCTTCTGTTTCTCAATACTGCAAGTTAAGTTATCTAGTTTTATGAAATATGCTGATATTAATGAATGTCTATAAATTGTTTCAATTAAGATATCAAAAGTAAATTGATGTGTTTAATATTGGCATAGTTTAACAATCTTTAATTAATTAAATTTAAATGTAACAATACGAGTAATTTAAATTTGTTTTCCTTTTCTTTGCGTGGTTCATCATCTTAGGTTCCGTCTGATTCCGAGGCTTTATATCGGTTCTTTGAGCCTTGTTTTCTTTTACAATGAGTAGGATGCTAACTTGGCCCATCAACCTTCCTCCTTTATCTGGCTTGGGACTGACTGTGGGCAAGAACGCAGATTCTGAGCTACTCTATTCACCCAGCCCATCCAGGCAGAGTTGAAAAAGTCTTAAAGTGAATGTAAGAAAACACGCGAATGAAGCAGTTTATATATAAGTGTATCTAAGTGATTTCATCTGTAAGAAGAAGAATATGAGATTAGATGGAAAAGTACTTATATATAAACCAATTTTAAGAACAATAACGTTATATGCGATAGAAATCAAAGCAGTTACAAGAATGCTTAAAAGTTTGGTTATCAGAAACAGAAGCTTTGTACGATAGGGAAGACAGAGAAACAAAATGGAACCAGCAAAATACGCGAACAGATAGTAAAGATTAGTCGCTATAGCAAGAGATTTAAGAACAAATAGAGTAAAGTAATAAAAAGAATCGATATACTCGATAGGGAAGGATGGAAGAATGTTTTGAAGTAGGCCAAGGCTCACGAAGGGCTGTAGCGCCAACTGATGAATAAAAAGAATATAGTTGGCAGTCAACGTCATAAATTGTTATGAAGAAGAAGAGAAGAATAGTCTTTTACAGATATTGTTGGTCGAACAATATGGTTGCGATATATCAGTGGGAGTATCATTAATACCAGGTTACGATTTTCTTCATCTTCTTGCGTGGCTTTGCAATTCGGGGTGAGTCTTCGCCGCATCCGCTATAGCCCTAAATCGTCTACGATCTTGCGCTTTTATTTCCCATTGTTTTATCATAATTCTAGATAAATTGCCTTCAATATCATCCTTCCATCTTTTTCTAGGGCAGCCTCCTGATCTTCTACCATCTGATCTCTCAAAAAACACTGTCATTAGCAATATGACAGAATAATAAACAATCAGAATGCCCACTCTCCATGGAAAATTAAGTACGCGCATCTCGTTCGCGCATACGTTCCGCCATGTTTTAAAGGGAACTAGTGTTCTTTAATCAAAGTTTATGTGATATGCATAGAAAAATTAACCCGGTTTAATTGACTTACGGCAATCATAGACATACTATACAATTATTTTAACATTGTTAAATATGATATTGTTAACAAAATTGGGTGTATAGAAGAATCCTGAAGATATTATGGACCGAGCATGTAACAAACAACGAAGTTATGAGAAGAATCAACAAAAGAATGGAAGTATTGGAAACCATCAAGACACGAAAGCTGCAATACCTGGGGCATGTTATGCGTAATGAGAGATACAACCTACTTCAATTGATTATACAAGGGAAAATCCAGGGCAAGAGAAGTGTAGGAAGAAGAAGAATCTCATGGTTGCGTAACTTGAGGGAATGGTACGGATGCACATCAATTGAACCATTCAGAGCAGCAGCATCTAAGATCAGAATAGCCATGATGATTGCCAACCTCCGTCGTGGAGATGGCACGTGAAGAAGAAGAAATATGATAACATAAATATAATATAATTAAACATAAATATAAACAATTACATAACCTCACAAATCATAAATTTTTTCTTCTAAAACATGGCGCGCGTGCTGAAAAACTTCAAGGCGGCTTCTGACAGTGGGCATTCTAATCGTTGATTATTCTGTGGTTCAGCATTTCAGCGTCTTCTCTATTCTCGTGTCAGTTCATCTCTTTGAGTTCCAAATATCATTCTGAAAACCATTAGTCACATGTTTGATTTATTTTTTACTAAACGATTAATAAATATATCCAATACCTTCCCCAAACGAGCCGCTTAGGACACTATTTCAAAATTATAATATGTAAAGATGTTTAAATCGAAACGATCTGAAGTTACTTCAATCAAGAATTCTAGCTCCCTTAAAATTCATTTTTGAGTATCGTATTTTACATTCAATTGAATCAAATTTTAATATTAACTCAAGTATTTTGGGAAAACTCGATATAAGTTTGGAATAAAAATGATGCCGATTGAAAATTGAAAAAATTATATTCTATTTGTTAAATCATTCTATTGTTTATTAACTTAAACATTGTAAAGTTGTTTAAAAAATTCCCCAGTCTCTCCTATTTAACGGATTTCAATGATTCGAATTTTATTTGAAAGACTGGATGGGCTTTTATATGTTAAAACAAATTTCAGGTATTTAAAACGTTTTTGTTGGCTGTGCATAATTTTGAAAATTAATTTTTTTTTCAAAAATTTTTACTGCTGCAAAAGCTGCAAGATTATTTTACGAGAACTACTACTAGTTATGAAACCTACTTTTTTGGCTTTTAGACTTCCAACTAAGACTGAAGATCTCCGAAAAAATTGGTCCAACTGAGATGGAAGCTGATTTTATTGCTTTAAGGTCCTTTCTCATTTCGGAAAGAATTATTCTCCTGCAAAAATCAGGGGAAAGTCACAAACTACTATTCCGTTGCCTCTTCAAAACGAAATTTTTAAATAATACCACGTGTTCTATGAGACTAGAAACCTCAAATTATTATAATGATGACAACTTTAGCATGGTTCTGATTAATATTCGTTTTATAAGATGAAAAAATGTTTTATAAGATGTTTTATAAAACAGATGAATTATTTTTGTTTCTAAAGGAATTAGGATTT